ACTTGCCAACAGTTTTTAAGCCTGAGCATTAGCTACATGGGGCAATACTCACCCTAAGAACAGCTACCAACTGAGCAGAGGATCTCATTTCTTCACCCCTCATCTTCATATGGTACAAGTCTTGTTACCGTTAAAAAATTAGAGGGTTTACTCAGCATAAGACTTCTTCAAATCTCTGGTGTAAGCAAAGAATAGTGACAAAGGTAAGACAGAAACTAAGCTAACAAATCTAGGGGGAAAACTCCCAACACTGAAGACTGACAAGTGCTGGCAACAGCCTATATGCCAATTCACAATATAGTTGTTAAAATTTAGGAAGTACTAAGTGTCAAAGTACTGTGTCTAGACACCTCTTTCCTGCCCTGCTCCCATCCAAACCCTAGTACAAGTTAGAAATATCTGCTAGTTATTACAGTTTGAATGGTCAACAGGTTTCAGAAGGCTGTGTGCCACTGTCCGTAACCAGGTAATTTCCACAGACAATAGGTTATCCCCTGTTTTTCTACAGAAGAGATTAAAATGGAAAAAAAAAAAAAAAAAGCTTAAATAGTATAAGGCTGAAATAGCACAGAGGTAGCTTAACCTACTACTACTGCTCAAGCACAAGCAAATCAGAGCAACTGGCTTAAAATTATGCTTTACTTTTGTAAGTGGGCTAGTCTAGCTTCTACTGCACAACAGTCACAGGGATTACCATTCTTGTGTAGCCCATTACTGAGTCTATATTTGATAAGGAAGCTAGAAATCCTCTCCCATATTTGGGAGACTTAACTATGTAGGGTTTCACCCATCAATATCTTACAGCACTAGAACACCCTAAATCATAAGCTACGCTGCATTCAAGTCCTGGCATTACACTGCATAGAGAGTAGGACCCTTTTCTCTAAAACAGATTCTCTAGGAATGTTAAAAATTGAGAAATCCAGCAATGTTTCTGTATGGGAAGCACTCATGTGAGAAGGCTACCCAAACAGGGAAAAGATTCCTATCCAGCTCCTGCTGTTGATTCCAACTCGCTATCATTACTTTGCTTTGCATGGGAAAGGGTCATTTATTTTTGCCTTTTAAATAAAACTATAAATTTTCCTCATTTTGCTTTTGCAAATACAAAAAGGAACAAATAGAGCCTTTATTCCGCTACCCTTGTGACACAGGAGTTGAACCTAGCAGTCTGGAGATCAGAAGCACGATTTGTAGAGAATGAGAGAAAAGGGGAGCACTACATGCTGCCAGACCCTAGGAAGGAATTGTGGGGCTGCGCCATCCGGGCTAATGGAAGCCAGGCTCAGGCAACAAAGTATCGCAGCCACTTTGTAAAAGCCAGTCGGGCTTTTACAAAGCAGTAATCTTTGCAAGTTTTAAAGTAAACAAGATAGTAATACTCCAGTACTACTATAATACTTTTGCAGTTACTTCCTTCTAATCAGGAGAACAGTATTCTGTTCTTCCACATATAGATACACATTACTGTTCCTAAAGGAACTCCAGGTTTATTTTCACCTCACTTTCATGAACCAGGTTTCACTAGATTGACTAATTTACATTTTGCAGCTAGATTTAAATTGCCTTTTTTCCCTTTAAATTAATTGTTTTCATCTTGACAACACAATGAGCAGAGAGGAAAGCATTTTTGATTCATATCCCCACCATCTATATTTAGAATCCTTTGGGATTCCCAGTAAAAACCAAACAAAAACAACAACAAAAAACCCAAAACAACCCTCCGAAAGTACCCTGCTGCAAAGAACATTCAAAACCAACTTGTTTAATTCAACCCTGTTGCCTGAAAATAATTATTTCACTTGAATAAACAGAAAACAGAAAAGCCTTCCATGCTATCAGTTAAACAATTATTCACCACAGATCTTTAGTGCCATGTTTCACCTAGCAGGCATGTCTTAAGACTAGTTTTCCTACTTCTTGGTCAAATTTGTACTCGTAAGTACTATTTCTAGGTGTTTCAGACACAGCATATCCACTTTTTTCAGACTGCCCTATCTAAATGCAGATAGAAGCTTCAGCTCCTATGTATAGGTTGATCACATAGTGCCCCACTGCTTAGTAAATGCCCCACTTTTTAATCTTTCCTTCAATATGCTGCTTTGTATTTTCTCTCCAAAGCTCATTCTGGCACTGACACACTGGTTTGAACAGTCTTCCATTTCCAACTCTTTGCATCATATTTTTATAGTGCCAGTACACAGCAGAATTGCTTACTTTGAGATCTACATTATTCATCTCTTGTTCCAATACCCGTTGTTCCAATTCACCAGGAGCCTGCAGTACAGTGCATAAGTGTTCTGCTCAGCACAAGGATGCAGTACTGTACTCACAGCTCTCTGAGAACTTCTCTTTGATCAGTCTCCTCTCTTCTGATGGGTTTTGGCCAACAACTTCCACTGCTGTCTTGCGATTTCTCACACCTCTGCTTCTTGCCACAGCTCCTTTTTCAGAAAGCTCTAAATTACCTAATACTTTCCCACACCACTTCATGAGGGAGTAAGTGCTTGTGTGTAGCAGCCAAGCTACAGACTTAGTCCTGGATTTAGGTACCTACATTTTCTTATGGAAGAGAAATGTCTCACACAGCAGCTGGGCTACACAAAAAGCATTGTAGTGCAAATCATTATGAACAGTATGCATACTTTTGTTAGAAAGCTACAGTTTTCTGAAAGGGTATATGAAGCTCCATTTATTTATTTGTTTTGTGTTTATTCAATAAGCTACTAATTGTTTCCCACATTTCACTGATCCACTGATTTCCGGTGGTCACTGATTTTCTCATGAGTATTAACAAAAGGAATGGTTGTCTTTACAAAGGAGGACTGGTCATAGATGGTATTTGTAAAACTGAAAAACAAACCTAACCTTGATGAATAGATGACATATGCTGTTTCTGACATGTTAAACAGAGAAAGTAAAGGCCCAGAGCCCCCCTTTCATAATTCTTGCTGTCCCAGCTCTCTAACCTTCATTCCTGTTCTTTATGTTACTTTAGAGAGTGGATCTAGAGGACAACCCATCTAGTTTGGGGATTCATTTCAGCCTTATCTCACCTGGCCAAGACAACTTTCTCTAAACAGCTCAAGTACACACATAATCATGAGCATTACAATGTATGGACCCAACACGTCCAGTATTAACGTACTGGAAACCGGTTTTCTGTCATGTTTTAAAATGAAATACCAATCTAAAATTAAGAGAAACTACTTCTTCCACTATGCAAGAAAAGCAACTTTTTCTTTCTTTCCAATAAAACCTAGAAACTTATATGTAATATATGTTTCCAAAACTCCAGATTAGATAGTCCTAGTTCCCTGTAATCCTCAACATTTAGGGTAAAAAGGTAGATTTTGGCAGAAGTACAAATACAAAATTTCAGAAACTATAGATATTAAGATATTTTGGCCTTGGTTGTGCCATACTGATGCTTTGTCTGAAAAGGGATTTTAATTTTTTAAAAATGTCTTTGCACTATAATTAAATGTGCTTAATTATACACAGAATTGCAATAGTAAAAACCTGGGTATGTATAAAAATCTCTGTCAAAAAAACTCTTAAGTTTCTTCAGAAAGAAAAAGCAAGACTTACTTAGGTGCCTAACGTGAGCTTGAAATGGAATTTAGGTGTCTGAATCCAAAACTGATTTTTTCCAAACCCTGTATTACCTTGAAATGCCTTAGTCCCCCCCTTCACCGCTTCTGCATGGATTCTGGCTTTTGAATGTTTCCAGATGCATTTAATTTTCCTAAGGGCTGAGTTTCCCAAGGATAGGGGAAAATAAGATGATGAGCAAATTAAATGCTAGCATATAGACATTGAATTTCAAGACAGCAAAAACAGTAGAGAGGTAAAAAAAAGCAACTAATATATTTAAAGAATTAGGAGTCATGCACCTTTCTTTCTTTTACTGGCAAAGCTTGTCTGAAAATATCCCATAGTTGATCATAGCCAAAAGCATGGATATACTTGACTGAGCTGCAAACCCTCTTGATTGCTCCAGATAAGAGGTGGCTTCAATTCACAAACAAGTTTTCCCTGAAAAGTTTGATTTGCTGTCTGTGGCCAGAGCACAGATACTGTTGTGAAAAAATGAGGATAGAGGGAGAATATTGTTTCTGCGGTTGAGATGGAGTGTTTTTGCAGCAGTGAACTTTAGGTGCATACAGCCTGAGGAACAGTAAGCAATGGAAACACTGATGAATTGTCTTCCAGGAATGGCAGCGACGCGAGCACGACTCGAAGTTCCTGCTCGCAATACTAAATATATTACTTTAGGTACTATTTAATATAAAATACTGACATAGCTGGTATTCTCCATCCCAGAGAGATGACAACCAATAAGCTAACAAATTGTCACATACCTTCTGACCCTTGGATTTACTGAACATCGCTTTTTTTTCCCCACCCTGAAGGCTGGTGCAGCTTCCAAAACAAAACCAACAAAAAAAGAGGGCCGAGCACCCGCTTCCCAAGATAGCCTGCATCTTCAGGTTTCCATCAGTCTTCAACCTTAGGAGGAAATTCCTCCACCTGTTGGCCAGGCAGTTTAGTCAAGAAGGCTTTTATACACAGAACAATTTTCATTCTTTCCATGACCTACAAAGAGAGAGTTCTAGGCTGTGGATTGCAAGTGAAAATAAGACATGAAAACCTAAGAGAAGGGAAGGATTAGATGCAAAAAAGATGACAGTTATTAACTGGCTGCATTTAGGTGCCTGGTTTGAAACCTAGCTCCACATTACAACAGCTTTTTACAATCTGAACTTTAGGGTTACACACACAGCTATGCTATTATTCTAGAAAACAGAAGCTGTTTTAATTGATAACAGGATTTCTAGAAATGCTAATTTAAAGAAAAATAAATGAGCTTACTATTTACAATGGAAGGGAGAAGAGGATACACTTTGAGGCCATCATTACTGAAAATCCTGGCACAGAGAGAGTGCACTAACAAGTACATCTTGGCAAAACTACCAATAAAAATTTGCTAGCACACAGCTTTTTGTTAGTTTACTGTCATTATAGGTCTAGTGAGCACAAATGAGATGCCAGAACTGCATCCAGCTCTCTGCCAATATAGAGTGGAAGTCCTTGTACAGTTCAAGTTCCTCCATGGGCACATATTACTATTGGCTCAAATAGTCAATAGGGGAGTTCTTCACCCTTAGATGTAGGTAATAGGCAAGTTTAGCTGTTATCCTAATTAGAATATATCCCTTTTCATTTCTCATTTTCTCAGGAACAGATGCAAGAGCAGTCAGTTTCTTTAATCACAAAGTCTCTTTTTAGCTAACAATCTGGACTTCAAAACTCTCTCTGTTGGCTTCTTCCTAATAAACACTTCTGACTCATTCCTGCCTTTTCTGGGTACTCAGCTGCAGGAACCCAGCCCCTCTTTCTCCACTGTCAACATGTAATTACTGCTTTATTTTGGAAGAAATACAGCCAGCAAGTACACATTATCAGCTTGATAATATATTGTCAACCTATATAACTTAACAAACACAACAGAACTACTTAAAATATTAGATATTTCCCTAAGAACACATAAATGGCTAAAGCACCTAGGTTTATAAACCACAATTATAACATGCTTTATTATAAAATATCTGCTAGTACTATAACTGGGTATGGGTTTTTTCAACCACATTACCATCATGTTGTTATGTTCAGACAGAGCATATACTGTACATGTTTCACTTGGTAACCAACAGCTACATTCCATCAGATGAAATCAAGACTTACTTGCAGGAATGGAGCTTCATAATTTCCACTGGTAATTTTTAATCCAAGCTGTTTGACTGGAGGCATTGGTCCTAACTGAAAGGCAGCAAGTGGCAGCAACCAAAGTCTGTCAGTTGTGGCTGCTGACAGTTCAGCTTTGAAAATGAAGACAGACAACTTGCCCAAGTTGTTAGTGCATATTGAGTGGTGATAGTTGGCAGTCCTGCTGTCTTCTAATAGAAATTGATATTACCTTCTCTACTCTGTTGCACTTCATCAGCAGTACTGACTATGCGTGAGGACCCAGACTAGTGTAGAGCAGTATTCCACTGGAGACCTACTATTGTGCATAGTAGATATAGGCCATAGGATTGGTTTCACATAAGGAACAATAGAAAAACAGACATAATCTCTTAACTCTTCCTCTATATAATTTACTTTAGAATAGAGAGCAGCCATTGTGGTGCAAGGCTGGAAAGCAGAAGCAAGTGCTTTTGAGACCCCAAAATTACTCTAAATTTGGATGAAGGATTTATCCATTGGCAAGCCACTCTATGTACCTTAGCAGGATGGGGAGCAGAACTGATTTTCTGGAGTTTCTTGAAAGGCACAGACTCTTCAGTGGGGCCACAAAACGCTGACCTGTAACTGGAAGAAAGATTGAGCTCAGCAAGTTGGAAAGAATACCATTTTGAGTTGGTTTTGTTGTGTTTTTTTTTCTCCTCTCCCATAGGTATGTCTAAAAGACAGAATTATTTCTAAGCTAGCACAGCCTTTTTCCCCTTCCCTGAAGCACCATGTCTGTTGTCTAAATTCCAAAGCCATTATTTTAGGGAAAATAGAAATTGTTTCAATTTGCCTAAGTACATTTATCATTAAAAGTTTGTCGTACATTTTCATGGGTTTAAATACTGGGACTCAGCATCCTTGCTAAGACAAAGGATGGGGTGTGGTTAAGTGTCACAAGCAGGAACACCAAAGTGATCCCTCACAGTTCTACAATATGCATCTGCTTCTGCCATGTGCATCTCTGATGTTCTAACACAGAGATTATCTTCAGTGACCAAAACTGTTTGCACAGTAACAATATACACAGATTATTTTTAGTTCAGACATGTGGCCCTATTCATTGTGCAGCTGCTTTTATACATTAATGCATTGTGATACAAACCCCTAATTGTAAGAACCAAAATTAATTGCAAGCAAGGAGACGTTTTGGACTGAAAACCTCTTTTGGCTATGTTGGAATCAAGTTGTTGACTTTTCTAGTGAAAAGAGATATGAATCATGGAAAATATTTCATTCTTAACCCCTCAAAGTACCCAATATTCCTGAACTAATGCAAAATGCAGTTATGTGTTGGCTTAGAAATTACAGCTTCTCTGCCAAAGGTTAATTTAGACTATTCATCCAAGATTAGTTGCAAGTTTTTAAAACTGTAAATAAATTCTTGTTCCTAAACAGCACAGGTTTTCAAAGAAGGGAGTATAACCCGCAGCCTATAAAAGGAAAAGATTTAAAGCAGAAATGGGACATTTGACTTCTGCATATTTGGAACATTTAATCACTCTCTTGGTTACATGGAATAAGTTAGACTGGCAGCTTTTCCCTCAGATCCTTAGTGAAAGTACATTTCTTTAATGGAGCTTTAATGTTTGTAGTATGATTTAGAATCTAGTCCTGAATCTTTTATAGACAACTGTAGAACTCCTCTTTGTTTCAGGAGGCAAGAGGCCCAAAGATTGTTAGTGCCTGAAAGTATGGGCCGCAACCTTGTCTCCTGTTTAAAAAATTGTGTGCATCTTTTCCCATTCATATTACAGATGTTAATGTATGCATAAATCCATTACTGTTATAATTAGCAGGAGGATTTCAATCTCATTCTATTAGATAAAGCAAGCTATGCAAACCTTAAACTGTTTTAGCTGTAAGTGCAGGGAAGAAAGTCTGAGGTATAAAAGGACTTTCTCAGGATTTATATAGGTCTAAAGAAAGGCAGCTGGGGAGCCAAAGTAATTTTTATGAGACCTAAGTCTCAGACAGACAAGCTTTGGTTGCGACACTTCATTGATGCTATTGAATCACCTCATACTGCCCATTTGCTGCGAACAACGGCCCACATAAAATGAACATCCTGGGTCTGTCTTATGTAGTATAATCTTAGCACACATTTATGTTCACTGTCAGTTTAACTCAATTGTTCATTCTGCCAGTTACCCTAGTAAAATAAGCACCCATTCTATTCTGTTGCCCTTAACCTGGAAAAACAAAAAAGATAATTCAGGTCACTAAACTCAAACCAGCCACATCCGCATCCACCAGAGTATCTTGTGTAATCTCATCTCATTTTCACTTCTCCACCTCTAAAATCTATGGGGCTGCATGGGTGAGCAAGAAATTTTAAACCTTTTTAGATTGTAAGCAAATGTGGTTTTGAAAGACTCACCTCTGACTCAAGCTCATTATTTACAGTAAAATATAAACTTAAAATTGGACACAATTTACATAATTCTTGACAGCAGTAGAACAAATTCCTTAAAGTTGAGGATGGCAGCATTCTAAGGCATAGGTGAATAATAATTATTATTATTTTCTTGAAAATGCCTGTCAGTAATGGCCTCTTTATTTGAGTCTGTTTTTCAGTAGGTGTTCACTATCCCCCAGAAGCATCCCCAAAATAAGAAGCTCTCAAAAAAAGGAGTTCGATTCAGAAGGGCAGCAGACAATTGTTGTTTTTCCCTCAAGTAGCCCTAAGTTTTCATCTAACAGCTAAATCAAAAAACTCTGCAGAAGAATAAATCACCTTTGAAATTGGAGTAGATAACCCATGTATAGCTACAATCAAGAATTCTTATCTGGTCCGTTTAGACTTTTTTGACTCATTAGACTACCTGAAGAGAATAAGTGACACTCCAGAATTTCAAAAATCCAAATGCTCATTTTTAAGGTTGCAGTGGTCATGTACATCACTTACACTGACTAGGTATAAGGTGTGCTAGTTGAGTTGTTCTGTAGAAAATATCAATCTGTTGAACTTCATTTTGTACTCATATGAAGTAGCTCTCAAGTCTACTGTAATTTACTTACACAGCTAAGGATTTTCTGTGAAGTTGCAAAGACCACAGAAACTCCAATACTTTTGTCAGATCAATGAAAGCTTGCAAAATACCAGCTTCTGCATATTTGCTTGGATAAAGGTCTTGATAAGATTTTTCCTGAGAATTTTTCAACAGTTTGCATCCAAGCTGCACAAAGATTCTGGATTCCTGTTTCCTGTATTATGCAGAAACAAAAGCCCCATCCAAGCAACTTTTTCTAGTGTTATTTCTATTACTATCTTCTGTAAGCTCTTGTTAATACTAGTGAAAATGAGTTTTGAGCTGCCCTCAAGCATACTTATTCACATTTAACAGCACACACTGAAATTACATTCTGACAGTTATTTGGTTACCTATGTTTTGTGCCAAACACTTATACACTCAGTACAAAAGACATGGTAGTCTAATCTGTAATAACGCTTTAAAATGGGAAACTATAAAAAGCCCCTTTTACTCTCTTTCTTTTACACATAAGTTGGGACTGTTTTACTTGGATGGTATCCTCCTCTCTCCTCTTACCTGGAGAAAAAAAAAATAATTAAAAAAAAGCTGTACATTTTCAAATGTTTCTTTACCTTAAAATCTTCCACATACTTAGCAGCAATTAAGCAGCTGTCCTCACAGTTACCTTGTAATGTCTCCATTAACCCGTGCCCATCTTCTGCTATTTATAAGAAGAATTAGCAGTAATGGTTGTGCACTTTAGATCCTGCTTTATCCCATGCTTATTTTCCTTACCTCTGGGCTACACAATTTATGACAGCAATATTCCTCTGACCTTATTCCCCTCTAAACAAATGTGAGAGCTTAAATTAGAAGTATTGTGATAATGTAAACCAGAATGGAGAGGCAGGGATGAGAAGAACCTAACAGTTGAATACCCTGATTTGTCATCATTACTTTGGTACATCCTGGGTGTCCTAAAGTGCAGGGGATATTAAAATACAGACACAACTACATAAAGTGACATAAAACTCATTAGTAAAAGGTATTTTCACAACCAATCACTGCGTGTTGCTCAAATGTGCACTAAATGATCAATTGCATTCTTAAATTTGTGTTTTGTCAGAGTCAGCTAAAGTGACCCAGGACAGGCCTCAGACACAGCCTGCTGAGTCATATCTTTTATATTAACTATTTTTGCCAACTTTTAAATTAGTTGCACAATGTCGCATAGCAACAAGTTTTTCTGATATTTTTAAATAGAAAAAAGTAGCACAATCTCTAACATATCTGATTAAAAAGCCTTTTACCTGATAATCACCCATATGTTAGAACAGAGTAAAACACTTTCCTAAACCTGTGTTAGCTACATAGTTCTTTTTGCCAAATAACTGTTCCTCTACAGGTCTGCAATGTGCTTCATGACTTTAAAACAGTATTAGGTCACCATGATTGAACCATATTAAGCAGACACACTTCTCAATTCAATTGCACCTGAAAAGTGCAGAAGTCTAGTGCAGTTTTTGTACTCTACACAAATTTATTCTCATTTCTGGAGCAGCTAAATTCTGACACTTCTCAAATGAACTCTGCTTATAAGGCTTTTCCCTCTGTGCTTCCGTTTATTTCACATCCCTTGTTTTTTCCTACACATTAACAAGCTTCATAATCACGTACCTTCCTGGATTGTTTTTTATCCATTATTTCTCTCCAATTAAGAGATTGCAGGCACTTTTACTAGCAAATTCCTTTCCTTTCAGCTGCACATGCAGCAGCCAAGTACTACAGATTTCTTATCCACTCCAGATGCAAAGTGCACTATATAGGATGGAAAGCACCAAGATTCAAGAAAAACCCACTCCTTGCTATGTCAAGCTGCAGTGGAAGTGGTTAAAGTTGAAGCTCCAATACAGAAACTTGTCTCGAGCAGGACTGGACAGGCAACTAGTCTCCAGGGAAGAAAGTGGGTGCATGAGCAAACTGACTTCAGAGATGACAGAGCCTAGACTTGGCAACATAAGCAAGAACCGGTTACTGCTAATAAAAACATTTCATATCTATAACTTAGGCAATTGTAAATTTAAACATAGATGTAGACATTTCCTTCTACTACATCCTTTCAAGAAAAGTGTAATTGTGTAGATCATAGGAAATGGTCTGGCATATGCAATGAGACAGAGAAAAAAAAAGACTACCTCATAGGTCTCTCTCTACCTTGCAGATTATCATCCTCTCATACCTATGCTAGTATTCAGTATATATTACTGAACTGAGAAAACACTGGGGTAGTATATGATATAACCTTGATTTACTCAGAATATTAATAAAGCGACTTTCCAAATGAAGATGTTGAGTCAGACTTGAAAAAAGTGACTTTGCCAGCTCCTGTTCTAATATAAGACCTAAAGGCATAAGATTAAAAACTCTGGCTTTGTGTATTGGTTTCAGGAAGTTGTAGTTTATGTTCAGAGCTAACCATGGTGTAGTACTGCAACCTACAAGTTTTAATCTTACTTTAAATCTTTTAATATTAGAGATACCAAAGAAATACTCTTGCTTGGTTTTTTGAAAGATCCATGAGAACTTGTACTGTATCATTCT